GCAACTTCAACCCCTTAGCCTGGCAGGCCCCATTTGTCTCCCTCTTGGTTATGGCAGCCCTGCCCCCTCACTCTTGGGCAGCACCTTGACTCCATCCCACCAGCTAACATGAATGAGCAGCCCCACACTCCAGAACCAAGTTGGTGAAGGTCTGACTTTTGATACCTAGGGGGCTGTGCTGGTTCCACCCCCAAAGGCCATGGTCCTACCCTTAAGGCTGAGGCAGCTCTGCTTCCCATTTCCTTGGTCTCTCAACTTCTGCCGATTAATGCCGAAGGCAACCCACTCTGCCAGAAATCTTCCTGCCCAAAAATCACTCAGCTTTCTCACTCCATGGTCCAGCCAACCTGCTACTCCATTTCAAGCTGGTATCATCTACCAATTAATGCCCGAAGGCAACCTACTCCACCAGGAAGCCACCTGCACAATGGCATCCAGCTCTCCACGGGCTGGCAAGGTTGTCACTGTCTCATGCCGGTTCTCTCGGCTCTGCTCCTGCCATCTCTCATACCATATGTCAGGGTCACTCTGCCAGGGTCTCGGGTCAAGGACGCACTCCACTCCTGTTTCCACATTTTAGGTATCTGTCAGAGCAGTACCTCACTCTCTTCATACCATATTCTGTTCTGGTTACCTAATGCCATTCTCACAAGAATATACCACAAATGGGATGGCGTGAACAAACAGGAGTTTATTCTCTTACAGTTCATGATGCTAGAAGTCTGAGTTCCAAGTGCCAGGCTCTAGGGGCTGGGTGAAAGCCCCTCAACCTTGGGGTTCAGCTCTGCCTCCTGCTCCAGGCCCACTGGAGCTAGAGGCTTTTCTTCACTCAGACAGCTGCTGGCTGTTGAGACTGACAAGCCCAACGTTGGCAAATAAAAAGGCACAGTCCCAATGTTACCAAACCACACAGCAGGCCATTAACTCAAGTCCATTAAAAGTCTCAAGGTCAGCAGAGCATGGCAGGTTGCTGATCAATGACATGGCTTCATGCAGGGTTCAAGCGTGCCATAAGCTAGAGTCTATTCCTCAAGGACTTCTCCTTATATATAGGAAGCAGACCATATCCCTAAGGCTGCTACTCAGCTGCTCACAGAAGATTCCACCATAGAGTTGATTACCAGTCTTATCATTGGGAATACTACATCCAGCTGCCCAGCCACTCAACCAGGTCCAGCCAAGTTGACTCACAAACATAACCACCACAATATCCTAAAGAAGTAAGAGCCTGAAAAGAACAGATGTATGCACACCCATGTTCATTGCAGCACTATTCACAATAGCAAAGACATGCAAACAACCTAAGTGTCCTTCAACAGAAGACTGAATAACCAAATTATGGTACATATACACAATGGAATACCATGCAACACTAAAGAATAAAGTAAAATCTGCAAAACACCACATAGTGTGGATGAACATGGAGGACATTATCCTGAGTAAAATAAGTCAATCATAGAAGGACAAATATTGTATTAGTTCACTATTCTAAAAAGTCAAGGAAAGGTTCATAAATGGAAGGAAACTTTCAGTACATGTATTGATTTGAGTAAAGGGAAGGGCACTGTACAAAACGTGAGTGATCAGTGGCACCGAAGAAGAGGAAGACATAGAGGGGTACACGGGAGGTACAGACAACAAAGATGAAACCCTTTTGCATGTGCAGTACTGCACTGTCAGTGATGGTGAGCATCGATCTATAAGTAGATGGATAAATGGATAGTCTGAACAATCAGGTACATCTAGACAGGGGGGAGTCTGCCCATGACCATGTATAGGGTTGGCAGACAATGTTTCTACAAGCATTTTTTATGTGCTGTAAGAATTGCCTGGTATATGGTTGATAAGGGACAAATTTGTTATGGCTTCTTGGCCACTGCCAGCTACCCTGAGGGAAAGAGTATTTGGACCTGTGGGCTTGGGACCATGGTTGCAGTGAACATCAAGCTCAACTGTCATAACACACTACACAAAAACATCATTCTACATCCTACTTTGATGAGTAGTGATTGGGGTCTTAAAAGCTTGCAAGTGGCCATCTTGATACAACATTGGGTCTTTCCTCATTTAGACCAAAGAAGAATGAAGAAAAGCAAAAACATCTGTTAATAATTAGTCCAAGGGATTAGTTGGCCATGTGGTCCTCAGCCTATACGACCATGAGACCAGAAGATGGTGCCTGGCTACCACTGTCAATCACTCAAAGGGGATTGATGCAAGAGATCCTGGATAGAACAGGAGAACAATATGGAATAAAACTCAAACTCATAAAAATTGATGAGGTTTGCTGGTCTGATAGAGCCTGGTGAGACCTCTGAGACTACAGCCCCTAGTTACCCTTCAGATCTGGAACTGAACTCACTCCTGTGGTTTCCAGCCAAACAAAAGAAAAGGATATGGGGTGAAAATTTACATCAGATAGATACACTCCTTGGAGTGGTCGATCATGGGAGAACAGAAGAAAGAAGTTTCCATAGTGAGATAGATTGGGGTGTGGGAGTGCATGGGAGGGAAGGACAAAGCGAAGAGGTACCTAACTACTGGGAGGAAGTGGGAAGAGAGCTGTTACACTGTGGGGAATTACAGTTAGTGTCATGAAACAAAATGTATAAGAACTGCTGTATGGAAAAGAAATCTCCTCTGTAAACTTTCACTTAAATCACAATCAAAATTTAAAAAAGAAAAAAAAAAAGAACTTAAAAAAAAAAAAAAAAGACTTACTGATCTGATAGAGACTGGTGGAACCTCATGACTATGGCCTTTAAACACCCTTCAAACCTGGAACTGAATCTACTCCCAGAGATCATCTTTCAGCCAAACAATAGTGTTCTGGTTGCCAAGTGCCACTCTGACAGAAATATACCACAAATGGGATGACCTTATCAAACAGGAGTTTATTCTCTTATAGTTTGGAGGGCTTTAAGTCTGAGTTCAAAGTGCCAGGCTCTAGGGGCTGGGTGAAAGGCCCCTGGCCTTGGGTTTCAGCTTTGCCTCTTGCTCCTGGCCCACTGAAGCTAAAGACATCTCTTCTCTCAGGCAGCTACTGGCTGCTGAGGCCGACAACCCCATGGTTGACAAATAAAATGGCACAGTCCCTATGTTACGAAACCACACGGCAGGCCATTAACCCAAGTCCACTGAAATTCCCAAGAGCGGCAGAGCATGGCAGGCTGTACAACAATACGGCTACATGCAGGGTTCAGCATGCCATAAGCTAGAGACCATTCCCAAAGCTGTTTCTTATATACGGAAAGCAGACCACATACCCAAAGGCAAGTACTCAGCTGCTCACAGTAGATTCCACCATGGAGTTGATTACAAGTCTCATCATGGGGAATACTACATCCAGCTGCCCAGCCACTCAACAAGGCCGAGCCAAACTGACACACAAACTTAACCACCACAAATAGACCTATAAAATAAACAATACCACCACTGAGGAATGTGCTCCTCAAATCAATGAACCATATGAGACCAATAGGGTAGCATCTGTCTCAAAACACATAAAACAAAGTTCAAAAGGCAGGAAGGCGCAAGAAAGAAGGATGAATGGAATCAGGAAATCTAAAGAGGAAGTAGGAAGAGTGCTGTTGCACTGAGTGGATTGCAACTAATGTCACAAAACAAAATGTGTATAGATCGATGACTGGGAAACTACTTTACTCTGTAAACTTTCACCTAAACCACAATAAAATGGTTTTTTTGGGGGGGTGGGGTAAAGAAAGACATAACAGAGAACTCTCTCTTTCCATTTTAAAGTGTAAGGAAGTACACAAAGCATCTCTTACACATGGGTAACAACATGCTTAGTTTAATTTCCAAAACCTTTTATCATGATATTCAATTAAAAAAAAAAAAAAAAAAAAACCTAGCAGTTCACTAGGAAGCTATTTTCAGAAAATACCATGCCTTTCTTAGGTAGTGATGGGCTGCTTAGAGTGTATATCATATTTGAAAGTTGTTAAAGTTATTTTCTATCTACATGTTCCTATTAAAGGTTATCTGCCAGCTCTGTGCTTGCTTATGCAGGTTTTTCCTCTTTCTGTCATTGATCTTTCTTAGGTTGGCACTGCTGCATTTGCTTCATCTTAATAGAAAATATACACTAGAGAGTGACAAGCATCTTTCACATGGTGGGAACCACATGAGCTTTGAAATTAAACAGATGAAAGGTATCACTTTCTCTCTCTGAGCCTCAGATTTCTTATTTATTGTTAGGACATTCTTAATGGTCTCTCCTCTCATTTTTCTCCTTCACAGCCTGAGCTTGGTACTCTCATATGTCACACTGGAAAGTAATCGTTATTCCCCCTACTGACTAGAAGGTGTTTGAAGAATTAGACTATTTTAATAGCATTTATTCCAGCACTAAACTGGGATTATAGGAAACTAAATGACAGAAGCCCACAGGGCTTTCACTCTTCAGGTAAGGGATTACCAAGATGTAAGAGCAACTGATGTATTTTTTAAATGAATACAAAGCAAGGGTACTTAACAGGAGTGAACAATAAGGTTTAGGCCTTTGTGACATACAATATAAGAGACTTAAATAACACATAGTTTTAAGAAGTGGTCCAGAATTTAAAAGGCAGTCAATCAAAACAAGCTATTGTTGAGAAGCTGGATTGTGGAAATGGGTTTCAGTCTGATGGAGAATAGAAGAGTTCATTGGAGAGGTGCAGTATTTACACATGCCAAGCAGCACAGCAAACCAGGTGTGGAGGAGGAAGGAAATATGCTCAATAGGAACAGAAAGAGATGTTGAGAAGTAACAAAAAATGGGGTTAGGAAGCAAGGAAATGCAAGACCAGGTCACGGTTTTGCATGCTAGGCTGTGGGAAGCTGTGATGGCCAAAGTCACAAAAAACATTGTCCAAAAAGTGTGATCAGGAAGCAAATGTCATTGGGTAAATATTAGCACAGTGTGTAGACGTTGTTGCATGTATGAACATGACAGACCAAACCCAGTCAGACACCCTCCATGTTACTTGTCCACTTACACTGGAGGAAAGGAGAGTCTATTCCTGGAAGTCTCTTTGGAGCTGACAAGAGTTTCCACTTTGCTTGGATGCTTTGAGTTAATAGCTGGCAGCCTAACCTATGCCAAGAAACATACCAAACCACAATTTAGTGAAGAGTGTTCACAGCTCAGACACTAAGTAAGTAGAAGAAAATTCAGAAAATGCAAACAGCAACAAAAATACAAAATATATAGGTCCAGATATTCAGCATAGTAATTATTTTACTGGTAAAGAGACATAATGAAATATAAGTCAACAATAGCCTCATTCAACAAAGCAGTTATCAATACCTAACATGTAGAAGGGATTCTCAGTGATTCAAAAGTAGCTGCTGAATTCAAGTAATGATGCCATCTACTCAATGAAAAAACACAAACCACTAATAACATGAAATATTTAAGGGTCCTAAGGGAGGTGCCTAGTCCTCAAGGGACTTTGTAGAAGTAGGAGGTCCCCCTGTCATAGCTGGCAGGTCCCCTCACCACATACCCTGGGGGAAAGCCCAGGTAGGCTGGAAGAAAGAGTAGTCAGGTAGAGTACAGAGAACATAGGGGAGTGCAAAGAACATTCTCTGAAGAATCTTTTGGATTTCTCCAATATGACCATTCCAATGAGAACCAAAGTAGAGCAAAAGGGAAAGTGTATCCAGGGCTGGGCGTTTAAATCTGCTTTTACTTAATCCCTAAAGAGGGTAAAAAGTGTGCTTACAGCTCCTACTGCCAGGTGACTCTTGGCTCTGTCCTGTGTGCATGGCATGGAAGTGGAGTGTTGTGGTCATAAGGTCATATGGTAGCCCATATTGTCTTTGTAACAGCTTACCAAAGTCCAATTCCACTACAGGTAGTCCTCTCTTACGAGATATTCTAGTTACAAATAATTGCATTTTTTTCCTTTTTTTTTTTCATTGTTACCAATATGTACTGAGGAGCATTTGACCGCTAACCAGATGGCTGGCGGTTCAAACCCACCAGCCACTCCTCGGAAGGAAGGTTGGGAAATCTACTTCTGTAGTGATACTGCCTCGGAAACCCAGGGACAGGTCACTGTGTGTCAGATCCCACTCAAAGGCAGTGAGTTTGGTTTTTATTTTTTAAATATGTACTACTACATACAGTGTTGCAGCATATAATTTCCTGATGCTTTCACTCTCAGATACTCACTCACTGATGTTCAATTTTATATCTATTGTTCAAAACAATGCAGCATAGATTTATTTTTCTAAACTACCAATGGCTTCAGGGACTTGAAAACATGGACCAAACACTGATTGCTTTGCTAAAGTTGATAGAAAGATTCAGGAAGCAGTAAGATGTTACCATGAAATACACAAAGAAAAAAAAATATAGAAAACTCTCACTAATTTTCTGCCTAGAAACATCACCCACATTCAGAATAATCCAGATGCTCTGGAACCTTCCACAGTGGAGTTACTACCATAACCAACAAAATGCCAACATCATCCAACTAAATCTTCTTCATCGTTGGAGTAAATTTTTATGATTTTTTAATGCATGCATCCATTAAAATATATCTTTAAGTTTATACCTAATGTTTCCAACACCCAAAGACAAAGATTGGATTTATAAAGACACTGGAGATTAATGGCAATGATAATGAATAATAATAATATTAAAAAGTATTGTAATGAAATGTTCAAAAACCTGGAATTAGAAAAACAAAAGGAAAGCACACACTCATTTCTCAAGCTGAAAGAACTGAAGAAAAAAATTCAAGCTTCAAGTTGCAATACTGAAGGATTCTATTGGCAAAACACTGAACTATGCAGGAAGCATCAAAAGAAGATGGAAGGAATACACTGTACCAAAAGAATTTGTCAGCATTCAACCATCTCAGGAGATAGCATATGATCAAGAACCAATAATACTGAAGAAAGATGTCCAACTTCCCTCACTCAAGGGATTGGCTAAAAACAAGGCTCTGAGACTTGACAGAATACCCATTGAGATGTTTTGACAAATGGATGGAGCACCGGAGGTGCTTATCACTTGTTTATGCCAACAAATTTGCCAGATCGCTACCTGGCCACGTGACTGGAAGAGATCTATATTTGTGCCCATTCAAAACAGAAGTGATCCAACAAAATGCAGAAGTTATCTAACAATATAACTAATATCACATGCAAGTAAAATTTTCCTGAAGACAATTTAAAAACAGTTGCAGCAGTGTATTCACAGGGAACTGCCAGAAATTCAAACTAGGTTCAGAAGAGGGCACAGAATGAGGAATATCACTGCTGATGTCAGATACATCTTGGCTGAAAGCAAAAAAATACCAGAAAGATGTTTACCTATGTTTTATTGACTATGCAAAGGCATCCAGTGTGGATCATATAAATTATGGATAACATTGCAAAGAATGGGAATTCAGATCACTTAATTGTGCTCATGAGGAACCTGTACACAGACCAAGAGGCAGTCATTCAAACAGAACAAGGAGATGCTACATGGAAAGGTGTGCATCAGGATTACATCATTTCACCACATTTATTCAATCTGTATGCTGAGCAAATAATCCAAGAAGCTGGACCATATGAAGAGGAATGGAGCATCAGGATTGGAGGAAGAGTCATTAAAAGCTTGTGATATGCACATGGCACAACACTGCTTGCTGAAAGTGAAGAGGACTTAAAGCATTTCAGTATGGATTACACCTCAACATAAAGAAAACAAAAATACTCACAACTACACCAATCAGCAATATCATGAAAAATGGAGAAAATATTGAAGTTGTCAGCAATTTCATTGTACTTGGATCCACAATCAACACCCATGGAAGCAGCAGTCAACAAATCAGAGGATGTACTGCACTGGGAAAATCTGCTGCAAAAGACCTCTTTAAAATGTTAAAGAGCAAAGATGTCACTTTGAAGACTAAAGTATGCCTGACCAAGATATTTTCTATAGCCTCATATGCATGTAAAAGGTAGACACTGAATAAGGAAGACCAAAGAAAAATTGAAGCATTTATTTGTGTTGCAGTGTTGATGAAGAATATTGAAAATACCACAGACTGACAGAAAAACAAACAAATATATCTTGGAAGAAGTATTCCCGGGATGTTCCTTAGAAGCCAGAATTGCCAGACTTCATCTCATGTATGTACTCTGGCCATGTTGTCAGAGAAGACCAGTCCCTGGAGAACGATATCATGCTTAGTGAAATAGAGGGTCAATGAAAAAGGGGCAGACCCTCAATGAGATGGATTGATATAGTGGCTGCAAAGATGGACTCAAGTGTAGCAAAGATTATGAGGATGGCACAGGACTGGGCAGTGTTTCATTCTGTTTTACAGAGAGTTGATATGAGTCAGAAGTGACTTGATAGCACCTAACAACAAAAACAACAAAACAGGTTTTGGACTTACATCAGAACCAACTTGCAATGCAGTTATAATAAGAAGGTATAATCGTAAGTTGGAGGCTACTTGTATAAGCAGTCAAGTATATATTATATTCGTGAAGGATTTAGTTAGAGAATCTCATCCAGGCTTAAAAGGACAGGGTAGAAGAAGAAATTAGAGAGGAGGAAGTTGGCATTGAGACAGGCCTTGCATGTATAGCAGGACATTGCTGTTGGAGGAAAAATGGAGGAAAGGTATCAGAACAGAAGAAGTAAGAATGTCTCGAGAGACAGTGAGGTGGCCTCCCTAGAGGAAAAAAGAGAGGATCAGGAAAGAGAGCTCCTGCATTAAGAGGGCAACAGGTAATGAGGACCTGAACCAGTGAGTAGCAAAGGGAAGAGGAGAGAGGGGTAGATGCTGAAAAGTATAATCAAGGGACCCGGTAAATGACAGACATAAGGGGTGAGGGAGAAGGTGAAATCAAAGATGGGTGCATTGCTGGGATTAGGAACACCCTGAGGAAAGTGCTCAGGTGGAGTTATAAGAGAGAGGAGGCTGGAAGAGATGAACATGGGATACACATATAAATTATGACCTCTTAGATTCTCTGCTTAAAGAAGATGTTGTGGTTTAGAGTTTAAATTTAAAATAACAGCATGCATGTTGGCCTGACATTTGAAATCAGTACCTTGGATGATCCCAAATCCATCTCTTCTAGCCTCCTATTCCTTTTAACTCTGAGCACTTTCCTCCCGAAATTCCTAGTTCCAGCAATGAGCATCCATCTTGAGTTCACCTTCTACCTCATCCCTCATTATTATTATTTACCAGGTCCCTTAATACTACTTTTCAACATCTTCCCCTCTTTTCTTCTCCTTGCTAATTCCTGGTTATATACAAAACCAAAAAACCAAACTCACTGCCATCAAGTCGATTCCAATTCATACATATGAATGTATGTGTATGTGTGTGTATGTGTGTGTATGTGTGTGTGTGTGCACGCACTGTTACTATAAATTTAAACTCTAGACCACAACATCTTCTTTAAGGAGAGAATCTGAGAGTTCAAAATTTATATGTATATCCCATGTTCATCTCTTCTAGCCTCTTCTCTCTTATAACTCCACCTGAGCACTTTCCTCCTGGTGTTCCTAATCCCAGCAATGCACCCATTTTTTATTTCACCTTCTCCCTCATCCTTTATGTCTATCATTTACCAGGTCCCTTGATTATACTTCACAGCATACATACATACATACATACATACATACATATATATATATATATATATATACATATATATATAGAAAATATCTCCTATTAGTCCACTAAGTAAATTTAATAAGCTAATTTTTTAATTTATAAAGCATAATACACATGGTTGAGAAAGCACAAAAGAGCATATGATGAAAAGAAAACTGATAAGCAATTTAAACAGATCAAAAATAACATTTCATTTCAGGCTGGCTGAATGTCTCTAGACTAAAGACGAACATTTATTTAGGCCTAAGTACTTTCCTGGCCAACGGTCTGTGGCAGAGAGGAGAGGATAGGGCGGGAGTGGGAAATATTCCAAAAGGAAGAAGTTCATCCAAGGGAATGAAGAGAAACTGCATCAAGAGCTAAGCCAGGATCCACGTGACTAATGGGCTCTGTGATTATAACTTGCTGAAAAATTTCCAGATCCAAGTGTTGCTTCCCGTGTTAAATAGTTTAA